TTCGGTACTCGGCGCACTCCACGAGCTGTTCTGTATGGAGAACACGGAGCCGCCGCTAACACGCAGGTCCGACGCAATAGCATACATCACGTGCATCTGCGACATGACAGCGCAGTTGTCCATGTAGAAGACGCTGGACAGGTTCACGACAAGGCCGCGCTCCACAAGTATCGCAGCGCACGAACCCCCGCCACACACCAGAGTCGACCGCGTCATGACAAACCGCGTCGACAGAAGCCGGACGCCGTCCAGGACAAGCGCGGAGCCGTGCCGGGATTTCTCGTGGCCAGGAGTCGTCGGCACGTACTGCGACCCGCCAACCGTCGCGCGCAGCGTTGAGTTCGCCAGCAGCACACTCGAGTTCAGCGGCATCGTGCCATGCAGCACAATCGTGCCCTCCAGCGACGTCACATTCGTCATGTTGACGAGGGCGTGCGGCACCAGGTGCGCCGTACTCTCGCTGAGGCCGCCAATCCGCAGCTGCGCGCCGCCCGCAAGCACGCAGTGGCGAAGCGTCACGTTCAGTGCGTCAGCAAACGCATCCATCGAGCGCAGGTCCACCGCCACAGTGATCGGCCCGCTGAACACCACCGAGTCGAAGCACGCCGTCGCCTGACCGCCGCCAACCGTCACGGACTCCGTCAGCGTCACGCCACTCACGCAGTCCTGCCCACCACCACCGCCGGCCCTCGCAGCCGGCACGTCGAACGGCAGGCACGCCTCGCCCACGCCGCCGGCACGGCAGTTGCACACGCAGTCGGAGAACGACGCCGTCAGTGCATCGAAACACGCCAGCGCAGCCGCACAGCCGTCGCACGGCACCACGCTCACGGAGATCAGGCCGGCCAAGCGGTAGTCGCCGCTGCTCTGCAGCACGCGGCCGCCGGCACGGTTGCACTGCACGGACACAGCGCCGCTCGTGATCGTCGGCCCGGCGGCAAGCGTCGCGCCGGTGGCAGCGCAGCGAGCAATCGACACGGCGCCGCCGCTCAGCGTCACCCTCGACAGCGACGCCACCGACGACGCCTCGCCCACCGCCCACACGTCGTGCAGGTCCAGCCACCCGCCGGCACCGACCGTCCCACCGCCGCAGCGCACCAACGGCGACGCAGCAGACCCCTCGACGCCCACAAAGCGCAGCACCGAGTCGGACACCGCGAGGCGCTCGCCAAGCACAATGCCGCCGCCGCTGCTCACAACCGACACGTTCGTCACGGAGAACACCGAGTGGTTACGCAGACTGAGACGCGACGAGGACGTTACATTCATCGCGGACGCGGTCGGACCGCCCGACGCCTCCAGCGACACGCCGTCAAGCACCACCGCGCTCGACAGCAGGTCCACACCGCCGCCAACGTACACCGCCGACCCGCCCGCCTGCGACGACCTCAGCACGGTGCTGCTCACACGCAGCTGCGTCTGCAACAGCGACGTCGCGTGCAGCACAAGCGGCGACGCCACCGCGTCCGTCAGCCCGCTCAGCTGGGAGTAGCGCATCGGCCCCGGCGTCACAATCGTCGAGTCACAGACCGTCACGTTCGTGTGTGCCGGCAGGTTGTGCACAAACACGAGCGAGCAGTAGCTCCCGGACAGCCCGCTCACGCTCACCTCCAGGCTCCGGTCACTCGCCGGCTCGCCGCTGTAGCCCCGCACGTATATCTGCGCACCGCCGTCGCACACGCAGTCCCTCAATTCAATGCGCAGCGCGCCGGGAAGCATCGCCGCAACGTCGAGCACCACAGCCACGCCGTTCGTGATGCACACGCCGTCCATCAGCACCGTGTCCAGGGCGCGGCCCACCGTGATGGCTCTCTCCACCGTGCCGCCCCGCAGTCGCAAAGGCACCGCATCCACCGCGGGCATCCACGCCGCCGCCGCAACCAGCGCCAACACCAAAAGCAGCACCGCCACACGCACAGTCGCAGCGGCCCTGCGCCGCACGC